TCCCTGCATCCCTCAGTCTCTCCATGGGCTGGGATCATCGCTGGAGAGAGCCAGCTAGAAGGGGAGCAAGTCCCCAGAGCATTAGCATCCTCCTAGCTTTAGGTGCTTCATGTCCCATTGCCATCACCAGAACCTACCTTTACTAAAGAGCTACTCCCCCCTTTTGCGTGGCTGAGCATGGGCTGGATGCTGGGAAGGTCTCTCCAGCGAGAGGTGCAGGAAGGCCAGTCGGTTAATTGGTAACAGGCTAAGGGTGTGAATTGATAAGGGAGGGGAATAATAGTAAAATGGGGAATTAACAGAGGTCAATAACTAATCACTATTGAGTATAGATTAGGGGTAAGATATAGCGGGGAGAAGCTTCTTGTGCTGCAGCTTGTCCTCAACTCCTGCTGCTGCGTTTTGTCATCTTAGATTGTAAATTCTTTGGGGGCAGAAAGTGATCTTGTTATTTGCTCCCCTCCTCCAGGGTGCTGTAATATAAAGACTGGCCTGTATGTTGCCCCCTATCTAAACTTCCAAGAAGCTGCTGTGGGGAGGCAAAGCCTTGGGGACGGTCGCTGTGGAGCGGAGGCTTAGTGGCTCGTCAGTCTAAGGTAAAGCGTGGAGCTGGTCAGAAAAAAATGGGGAGTATTTTTCATGCACAATTTGCAAATTCAAACAGTCTTGACCAGCTCTAGTAAGGACCCACCTGGCTGTTAACCCTTTGGAGTAAGACGTGAGCTGAGGCACTGTGAAGCATTTTGGTGGTGGTGATGGCAGTCTTTGCCATTCATGGGAATTGCCAGACAGGATCAGCCCACTGGTCCATCATGCCCACTCTCCAATTGCTACAGGAGCTGCTCAGCCAATTGGAGTGTTGGAATTAGCCAGTGGGGACTGGGATTAATGGACAGAGGGCAGGCGAAGCCATCAACCGCACAAGATACATTCAATCCATCACCTGGCTATCTCCATTCTCCACCACCCGTGTGCTATGTATCTATTATACATACACACCCATTTCACCCAGCTGAACTGCGTCTGGGTGGCGGATGAAAGGTCTGTTTGTGGCATGACAGAGGAGATTAGCAGGATCATGTCCCCTTTTCTGGGGGAGGAAATTAAGCATGTGAAACCCTTGCAGGTGAAGAGAGCAAACTGGAACTTGCTCAGTTAAAAAGAAAGCCAGCCCGGCCTGTTCAAAGTCAACTATCCCAGCGAAGCAGGGCAGGCTGATGACAGCTTCTGGAGCCCTTGAACTCAACTCACCCCACAATGGTAGGATTTCCCTGTTACTCACCTGTCCCTTCCCCCATCCCTGTCCTGTCTCTTGGCTGCTCCAGGTGAGCAGGCTGGACGTAACACGGCTTTTTGCTCTCTAAGGCTGGGATTTTCAAAGAGAACGAAGGGACTCGGGTGCTCAACTCACAGTTAATTTCAACAGGCTTTGGGGGCCTAACTCCTGTAGACCTGGGGAAATTCCAGCCTTTAGCAACGGGAGAGGCTGAATCTGGATGTCAAGGCTCCTCCATGGCTGCACTGGCTGCGTTTTTAGTGTGGCTCATGGGTATATTGGACAGGAGGAGACACAACCCATCCTGCCAAAGCCAGCCTCTCTTGTCCGATCCAGACAGGGAGCATCGGTACCAGCAAAGCGAATTCCAAAGCGGGGCTGTTACAGGAGCACAGGACTGAACGGGAAAATGAACGCGAAGGACACAGGCGAAAAGAGGAAGGGGTAAAGGCTAGGTCTTTGGGCATTCCTTTGCATGGATATTTCCAGGAAAGATGGGCCTGGCGCAAAGTTTGGATCCAAATTCAAACTCGCCCCAAGGTTGGTGTGGGGTGGGCTGAAGGGAGATGCCGGGTTTTGCTCTGGCACCTTACAGAAAGGTCAGCCTGGTGTGAGCTGGATCCAGAGCCAAACTTCCCCAGTGTGTGGGATGGTGGGGGGGGGGGGTGAAGGGCGGAGTAAAGGATCTGTCATCTCTTCCCCTGCCCCCAGGGGCTGGATCCCTACACAGATTGGTGAGGCACAATCTCGAGCAAAGGCATCCTTCTGCCCTTGATGTGTTCCTCATTCTCTCCTCCCATTGGCTTCCAGGGGACCAGGACATGCGGCTGGAAGGGTCGGTGCCTGCCTGAGCTCTCGGCCCCACTGAAGAGCTCCCTGTAACTGGCTGGAGCTCTAGGCCCTGGTTACACAACAGCGACCAGGGTTTGTAACCAGCACATGGTACTGATGGCTCCAGCTGTGGTTGATGCCTGCACACCACCTGGTTAGTAACCACGGCAGTTAACCACACCTGCCCCCTGCCAGGGACCTAGGCTGGTGCAACTGGCTTAGCACCTTGGGGGTTTGCAGTGTAGACAGGAGCCCCTACTCCCCCTCGTCGGGCTGGTCTCCTTCAGCCCAGCACTCTGTGCAGTGGGACAGCCCAGAATCCATTTCCCCATGAGCGGGGCTGTGTGCATGTCCCCATGGCCCGGTGGTCCTTCCGGAGGCAGCTGTTCAGAACACACTGGGGGCAAACACTGAGAGGCAACAGGGCGGGTGCAGACATACAGTCGCTGCTGCAAATTGAACCGTATCACTTGTAACCACACTACAGCCGTGATTTCGTAACTGAACAGGGGCTTAGCCGGGGATCTTCATTCATCCTCCTAGGGCAGCACATTGGGCCACCCTCACAGAACAGTGTGCATGCAAATTACCACAAGGTGGCAGCATTTGTGCATGTCCCTATTTAAAGTCCTGCTGGCTCTTAGTTGAGCAATACTGTACACTCAGAAGAGATGGATTGGGGCAGCAAAATACCTGGAGTGGAGCTTTCCCAAAGTGCTGGGGCCTCTGGGCCCAGGGTTTTGGGTCAGATCCATCTGGGGTGGGCAGGGAAGGTAAAGACCAGGGACGTTGCTGTGTCAGTGGCAGCACACACGAGCACCTACCAACACTGGAGGGTCTAGGCAGCAAAACCAAAGCAACCACGTGGTCACTGCGTAGCGTGAGACCAGTGCACACAAGCGGAAGTCGAGCAGCCCAGCTGCCAAGTCACACTTAGGCCGGGGGAGGCTTCCGACCTTGCTGGACTCACTCTGTTAGAAGCTTGGGTCAGGGGGAGCCAGTGGCAGGTCCTGGGCTCTGAAAACAACCCCTCGGTGACAGCGGTTGTGAGGACCCTCCCCCTTTGCCGTGCCCAAGTCCTGTCCCCCTCCGGCGGCAATTCCCTATGCTGTCGGCAGGAGGGGGGCCAGTGCCTACCTGAAGGCACCAGTTTGCTGTTGCTGCCTCAGTCTAGCCACAGTGGATAACTACGTACAGTGCAGGTGGGGGAAGGGACAAGGGCTCCCAACACCCCTGAAGAACCTGGCAACTAGAGAAAGCCCCCCCCACCCCCCGAAAGAGAGCGACAGAGCCGGCCTGGGGTGGGTGGCAAAGTTCCTACCTGGAAAAGGGGAGTGACCCTCGGGGGCTGCCAGCTCTGTAGCAGTTCCTGTAAGAGTCTCTCCCGGGGCTGGATCTGTGCAGTGGATCTGAGTGGTCAGCACCTCAGAGCCTGGCGTTAGACAGCACCAGTGCCTCTCTTCTCGGGCTTGCTCCCCCTCTCTCCTGAGAGCTCCCGGCCCAGAGGCCTTGTGCAATTTGAACAATGGCACCGTGCATGCAGCAGGCAGAGTGGGCATGGAGAGGATTTGGGGCTTTTTGCAGAGTGGAGGCACCCGTTGCAGCCAGCCTGGCACCACGAGAGCTTTGCAGCTCCTGGAGGGGAGGGGGGGCGTTGCTGAGAAAGGATATCTCACAAGATTGCACTAGGACAGACTTGCCATGCTTTGAGTATTCAAGGCAACTGTTACTCATTTAATGGGGCGTTACATGGGGCTGGCACCAGAAGGCCTGGCACCAGCGGTCAGGAATGGCCGCAGTAGACCCCATTGAGCGGCTACTTGCTGGCTTCCTATCAACCTTTTTTATAAGCAGGTTCTGCTTGGACCTGGGCAGAAATGGCTTCAGAGCTACTCCGCCTCCCAGCCTTGTCGCCTTACATGTTCTCTTGCCTTGCTGGAGAGGACTCACGTGCCCACCGCCAGTGCCCTGTTAATCCGGGGAAGCTACAGGGTGCAACCCATGCCCGAGTCACAATCTTTCCTCCAGGGATCTCAGCTAATCTGTAGCCCTCTCATGCCGGCTGGCCACATTTACCCTTAACTCCCATTGCAGGCTGGGGAGGTTTGGATGCAGAGTGGGCAGTACATCCCCTGCTTCCCCGTGACCAGAGAGCACCCACGTGCTGCCCCTTTGCAGAAGCACCAGCATGCACCTGCACACTGCCTGTGAAGACTTTTGCACCAGCAGGATCAGCACAGGGCACACAGGCAAGAGAGGACTGAGGACGGAGCCAAGAGGGGGTGGGGTGTGGGGCTGATGATACAAACAGCACAGAGCTCACTTAGGTGAATTGTTACCCATTGAACACAGACGAACCCCACCCCTCAAACAGAACAAAGCTCTGGTGCCTCCATCAACAGCAAGAAAGGGGGCAGGGCAGCACTTCCTTTCCAACCAACTTCCCCCTGGGCCAGGCCCGGAGCGGCCAAAGCAAAGCGAGGAAGATGCAGCGATTCAGCCAAGTGCCACGTCGAGGTGGGGAAAGGGGTCTCGGGCAAAACAGCTTCTCTCCAGTCCTCGCTGCCCGGGTCCCCCCGCTCCAGCCCCACCCCCCCAAACACCAAAGAATGCAGATGATCACGAAGGTGGTGATTTCATGCAGCCGCGAAACGCCCTCGTCGGACCGAGCGAAGAAGAAACGTAGTTTCGTAAGAGCCACTGCGGATTATAAAGCCATCGCACTTCAGCGGGGGACTCCGAGGAGGGAAACAAGGAGTGAAAAGAAACCGCCACAGGACGACAGAGAGAGAAAGGAAGGGGAAATCATCATCATCGGGACACGACGACAGGACGAGAGACAGAGCACTTTCCGTGGGCAGGCCCCGCAGAAAAGGAGCCGCCGTGTCCGTGTAAATACAAAACCCAGCGCCCTCCGGCTGGAGGGGGGTGGCTGCCGCTGCAGCTGGTTTGGCATCCCGTCTGGGGCAAGGGGTTCTGGTTATGAGCAGAAAACCCTGCAAGGGAAAGGGGAGAATGACTAGCTACCAATGCTCCCTTCCACGCTTAGCCCAGCAGCCCCCACTACTGGCATGGGGCAGCTAGCGTTTAAATGCCCTGAGCACATTTGGCCACCAGCCAGCTGAGATTCAGCATGGAGCCAGTAAAGCCACCTGGGATCCCAATGGGTATTCTGCCATTTGGCATCAGTCTGAACGGGATCGGGTCTTCAGTTAGCTCCCTTGGCTGGGGAACCGGCCACCTGGTTCCCCGGGTAGCCGGCAAGCTTGCCCCCCTACCAGGCATGCAGCCCAGGCGCTGGAAAGCCGCGGGTCCCAGGGAGCCTGACAGCCGGCTGGTCTGGTTTCCACTGATGAAATCGACACATTCCCACAGAACAAGTCAATTCCATCAAATTGACACGTTCCCACTGAACTTTATTACATTGGGAAATTTTCAACCAGCTCCAGTTGTGCCCGCCCACTCGTCTGTTGTGCCAGGGGCTCGTGGTATGGAAAAGGCTGTGTTCGCAGATAGAATGGGTCAGATTCACCCTAGCAATTCCTTCCGGAATGGATTTAGCCCACTGAGTTGATTGTTCTCGCAAAGAAACTGTACTGCAGCTTTGTCTGTTTCTACTTTTCGGATCAGAGGCCTGTTCCCGTTTCTGCTATTACTGGCTTCATACATGCAAATAAATCAAAGGATCCTTCCGAGTTTTATTCCACAACCCACGCGTGTCTAAGAAACAATAGCGCAGGTTAAAATAAGCACGTCAACTCACTCATCCGTGTCCTTTTTGCTTTCCTCAATGAATGCAATCGACTCAGATCTAAGGCGGTTAGTCACTTCATATGTACGCAAGGTGACTCCAAAAATATCCTCGTGGTATCGGTTGTCATCCTGAAAGCAAGGACAGCAGAGGCATGGCACCGGGAGAAGGGTGTAGTCGCAAGTTGTTATTATGGTATTTCTGTAACACCCAGAGATGCTAGCTGAGGTGGGAGGTGCTGTGCAGACAGAGTGTGGGACAGTCCCTGCCCCTAAGAGCTTACATGCTAAACAGGCAAGAAAGGAAAAGCCTACAAGGGGAAACTGAGGCACAGAGCAGGGAAGTGACTTCTCCAAGCTCACCCAGTAGGTCGGGGCAGAGCCATGATAGAATCCAGGTCCCTTGGCACTCTGTCCAGTGTCCACTATACCGGGCTGCCTCTCTCAATGGCTACTTGTCCACATGCCTTAAGGTTAAAAAATAGAGAAAGCGAGAGAAAGCCCAGGGGAACTGGAGATGGTACTACAGCCTAACAGGAACATTGCCCTAGTGAACAGACTGCAATGCATGTGTACCAGTGCCTTGCACTGGATGGAATCAGAACTGCCTAACTGTATGTCATAGGCCCTATATTGCTAACAACTAGAGGAGCTTCCCTGTTAGCTCAAATGGTAGAGGCCTGTACTTGTGCAGCAGTAGGATCTGCATGGCCGGATTGTACAATACGTGACAACCATGAAGGTACTAGGTGGCCACAGCTTTGCTATATTTGCTTATTACAGTGAGGACTCTCTAGCCAAATTTTTAGATAGGTAAATAACATGCATGGTGGGTAAAGGCTATTAGCTGGCTGGACATTGCCTACTGTTCCAGAGACATCTCCTGGGTAGAGCCAGCACTGCAAAAGGACCCGGAACTGCAGCTTGTACTGGCATTTCGCTGGCACTGGAGCTGCACCAGTGCTAGGCCAGCGGTGGGTGAAGTGCTAGTGTGGACAAGGCTAACGGGGTTAATCTGCAGAAACAGAGCTCCCCGAGAAGCTGGCCCCCTACGGACAAGAATTCTTCCGGGAACCAGTCCTTTGCACAGACTTGCTCCCTCAGACACCCTCCCTGTGCTGGACCTAGGCCGGCCGGTAACGGCAAGAACCATTCTGCCGATTTACAGATTTAAGGCAAGTCCCAGGCCCCTATGGGCTGCTGCAGGGGCCTTGTCCTCTAGTAGCTCACCCATCCCCCAGCTCCTTTGGCAAGCCAGGGGCCCGGGAGGGTCGGTAGAGCAGGACTGAGCTACATGGGCAGAGCTGGGCAGAGAGCCTGGGCCCACAAAGTCAGGTCAGGAGGCTGGAAGGGGTGGTGCCTACTGACCACTCCCAGAGCTCGTGGCTGCAATTATCCCATCATCAGTGACTGTGCAAGAGGAAGCCCTGACGACGCCCTTGGCCCAAGCTTGCGCTGCCCTGCGGCAGGCTGGGGAGGGCCTACTCACCCTCAGCTTGCTAATGAAAGCGCCAGCCTGCTCCACCGACAGCCGCCCCTGCTGCTTCACGATGCGCTGAATGGCCTTGAAGACATCCCCGGCCATGGTGACGTCCCCGCACACGTAGATGTGGCCTCCCTGCTCCTTCAGCGCTTTGTACACAGACTGAGCCAGCTGCTCCTGCAGCACGTCCTGCACGTATTTCTGGGGGAGACAGGAACGGACGTTGCACAGCGCCTGTCACCCACAGCTCCCAAAGGGCCCAGCCCAGCTTTACACGCAGGAGTCACTTCACCCCTCCATCCATCGGCGCAGGGCAGCCACCTCTGGGGTGGAACACGGCAGCCATTTAACAACGCACGGCAATGCTGCACCACTGTTTGGGAAGGGAACTGAAGACGATGCATACTCGGAGGTGCTAAGCGCCAGAAACTCCAGCTGAAGTCAGTGGAAGTGCCCAGCTGCCAAGCACCCCTGAAAAACAGGCTCCCAGTGGGACTCAGCCAGGGCCCTGGGGTCAGTACTCGGCTAGGGGAAAGCGCCAGAGGCTTGTTAATGTCCACAAGTGGCTTTAGGTCTCGTTTGAAAGGGAGAGAGATGGAGAGGGCTGGTTAACGGGTTTGAGGGCTATTGTGCTGTCATTGCCTTCCTGGGGATTCTTAAACGGGAGATTCATTGGCCCACGTAGCTGTGAAAAACTCGAGCCAAGATCATGTCCTCAAACTAGTGCAGGCAAGTCCCTCCAGGTGACTGCATGAGAGGTCGGACACTTCCCCTAGTGGCTGGGAGAATCCACAGCCCTGGGGATGCCGGAGCTCCGCTCACCATCTGTGTTAGGGTATGTCTACACTACAGGATTAATCCGAATTTAGATAATTCGAATTTGGGAAACAGGTTGTATAAATTCGATTGTGCGCGGCCACACTAAGCACCTTAATTCGGTTTTAAACCACATTAATTCGGTCGTGTGCGGCCACACTACCCCATTAACTTAAACACAGTAATTCGGTGGTGTGCGTCCACACTAACCCTAATTCGAATTAACAAAATCGATTTAGGCTCTACTCCGTTCGTCGAGGTGGAGTACAGAAATCGATTTAAAGGGCCCTTTAATTCGAATTAACTGGCTCTGTAGTGTGGACGGGTGAAGGGTTAATTCGGATTAAGGCAGCTAAATCCGAATTAAAGTCCTAGTGTAGACCAGGCCTTAGACTGGTCACGGCGACTCAGGGCTGAACGTAGGTGGCATAGCAGGGTTACCTTTGGTTTGTCTGGTTCCCGGGAATAGGCTGTGTACAGCTCTTTGAAGATGCCTTTGTTTTTGGCTAGGAGGGTCTCCTCTTTGTAAATGTGGTCGATCTTGGACTGTCGGCACCCAAAGACCAAAATCATCGGACAGGGCTTCAGTGCTGGAGCAGAGACAGGTGGGATAGCAGTGAGTCACGGAAACCATCCCCTGCCCCCAGTTCCCAAGCCTGGGTTCGCGCACGCCCTCCTGCGCGGAGTGGGCACGTAGGGTGACCAGACAGCAAGTGTGAACAATCGGGACAGAGGGTGGGGGGGAATAGGAGCCTATATAAGAAAAAGACCCAAAAATCGGGACTGTCCCTATAAAATCGGGATATCTGGTCACCCTATGGGCATGTGCTGTGCTTGGATTCCCTCTTCGCCCGCTGGCAGCCATTCTGTACACTCTGAGGGAGGCTATTTGGATACGTCACTCTGTTCCCTGGGACAGCAGATGGCAGAGGGGGAAGGGTAGAAAGTCCGAGAGGAGGTACTTGGGGAGACTGCGTAACCCCTCAGAGCCGTACGCATGGATCCAGGGTCCCAAGTAACTAGCGCTGGGTGAAACAGATCAGACTTTTTTGGTGGGAAATTAAAAAAAAAATCATTTTTGTTTGTTTTTGCAATAAAAAATTATTTTTAAACAATTTAATTTTTCATTGAAATATTGGGGAAATGGAATGAAGTGTAATCTAAAGAAAAGAGGGGTAGCCGTGTTAGTCTGAGTCTGTAAAAAGCAACAGAGGGTCCTGTGGCACCTTTAAGACTAACAAAAGTATTGGAGCATAAGCTTTCGTGGGTGAATGCCCACTTCATCAGACGCAACTGTTAGTCTTAAAGGTGCCACAGGACCCTCTGTTGCTTTCTAAAGAAAAGAATTTGTGACATTTTTCATTAAAAAAAGCCCAGTGGAAAAATGTCAAACCAGCTCTATGTTAGGTCATCTCGCGGTCAGCGAAACAGCCATGGCAACACATACGCACACACCACAGCAGCCATCTCCCACTCAGCCTGACGCCCACCCCTGGAGCTAACAGAGCGATTCTATTAGCTGCAAGTAATAGGCTCCAGTCCTCACCAGGACCAGCCACTGGAGGGCGACGTGATCACATGCTCTCAGTGGGGGTACTATACTTGGCTTCGCTGAGGATGCTGGGCAGGCACTCGCTCGCCCCCTTACTTACCAGAGGCTCAAGACCTCAGACCCACCTTTGTGCTCGATTTCAAAGAGCCGCTGCTGCCAAAAGCTCCGGAACGGGGCGATTCCCGTACCTGGGCCAATCAGGATGCAGGGAACCTGGGGATCTTGTGGCATGTGGAACCCAGGAGCTCTGGACAAACAAGTTTCTAAAGTTAGTGATGCCCCTCATGGGCCAAGGCCCAGGCTGGGTCAATGAAATCCTTGTGGGGGTAGAAATGTAGCTCAGACATGCAAGTGCAGAAGTTTGAGTGTGGAAGGCGGTGGCAAAAAGTGGCGTTCGAAGCAGAGCGCATGGTAACAGTCCACGCCGCGCTCTCTTCTGTGACCTCTGGCTGTTCAGGGGCATCGGGTACCACACCCCGCCCCATGCTCTGTAAGGTGCTGTTGCAGACTGCTCTATGGAACAGGGCCTCAGCCCCTCTGCCGTTCATTCGTAGAAATCCCCATTAGTGCTGTGAGCGCACATGGTGGGCTACAGACAGGGATTCGGGGCTCTCTGCTGTGAATAGCTGACAGATCAGTAAGTCTTGGAATGGTCTAAACCCTCCCTGGCTCTCGGGGACTCCACCTGCAGTGAACATGCCACTCACCCTCTTACAAAACAGGGCACAACTTCATCAGCCTGTATCCGGTTGAACCAGGAGGAACATACCCCGTGGTGGATCGGTCCTTCCCCATCTAGGAGAGGAAAGGAGGAGAGGGTTTGTACCCTGCCCCAGTACTGCTGAATGGATCGCTGCAGAACGCCCTGGCCATTTACCTCTCTGCACCCAGCGAAATGCTCTGCCCAAACCTCCCCCAATCTGACGTCAGCACTAACGGCAGCCAACCTGTCACTTGGGGTCAGAATGGCCAGGCTCTGAGTGGTCCCTGGGACCAATTCTGCTCTTCAGGGCAGGCTGGACCACTGCAGCACTCAGGACGGGCTGGCTTCCCCCAGGTAAACATCAGGGAGGTGCCATTGGCTGGAGCAGAGCAGTTTGTGACTTTGCTGTGGCCCTAACACACTCCCCCTGCTAAGGGCGAATGGGACCTTCCCGAGCTGTCTCCAGCTGGGTGAGTGCTTGCAAAGAAACCTTGGCCACAGGCTCCTGCTGGAGGTTTATATACCAGGTACCCCCTCCCCAGCTAGGGTTCCTCCCATGCGCCTTGAGAAGATGGTAATAGGCTTCTGTGCCACCCCGATATTCTCCTGCCAACGCAAGCAGACACCACGCTCGGCAGTGCTGCGTGGAAGATGAACGTTCAGCATTTCTATAAGCTTCCCAGGGGTGGGAAGCAGGAGAGACACATGCCTGCGTGAGGGGGCCTGGCCGATCCACCCTGGGGGCCGATCTGGAGTCTCTGCTCCCCGCCACCCACTGGTGTGAGGCAGCTAAGACGAGCGCATGCAACCGTTGTGCTGTGCAGTGCAGAGCGGCCTGGAAGAGCTGGAAAGCCGCCGGTTTCTGCTGCTGCATCTGGCTGCCACAGCCCCCAGCCCTACCCCAAGGGAGCCCCGTGTGAACAGGCAGCCAGGTTTTAACGAGGGATTCCCCCGTCCCCAAACACACAGACGTGCCCCCATACGTTAATGGCCACCGCCCACCATGCAAATGGAGATGAAGGCCCCATCTGCGTGGCCACCTAGCACAACGCCATGGGACGGCTCTAGCTGGTCGCCACCACCCAAACCATGAGCCCCTTGCAGCGCTGCTGGCATGGTACCTCTAGTGCGGTAGGAGAGCACGGCCACGGTGAGGTGCACCTCGTCCGGGGACATGTCGGGGGAGGAGCTGATGGAATAATAGCGAGGCTGCAGCACGGGCAGCTGGGTGAGCAGCAGGGTGGAGGGCATCTGCACAGACGGGAACTCCTCTAGCACCTCCACTATGGTGGGGTTCTTGGACCATTTCCATTCCTCGTACTCCTGCAAGCCCTGAAGCGCGGGAGGGAAAGGACAGGTGGGCTCCTGTTCTAGGCCAGACACATTGCATCACGCGGGCCCCACGGCAGGGTGGAGCAGACGAAAGGGAGCTCTGGCTGGGGATGCCAGGACGCGTGGTTGCAACTGCCTCTCACAGGGCTCGAGGACACCCAGGGCTCTAGCCCTGATTGCCACCCATCCTAAGGCCTGCTCCTCAGGACTCGAATGTTTCTGACGGAGCCTTCAGTGGATTCCGAGCTTCTCCCATTATACCGCGAGCGTGCCGCACAATCACAAGGGATCCCGGGCTCAGACACTGTCCTACACAGACACAGCAGTAGTGGTGCAAGACACCCATGCTGATTTCCAGGGAAGGAGGGTCTAGAGATCAGGACAAGGAGTCAGGAGCCGTACACTCAAGCCCCAGCTCCGCCACAGACTCCCCGTGTGATCCTGGGCACGTCACTTAATTTCAGAGCCCTCCTCTGTAAGACAAGGAGCTGCGAGGTTAAATTCACTGAGCATAAAGCACACTGAGGGGGGCTACATCAGTGCAAAGACGTTGATCCATTAAACTGTCAGTAGCCCTGGGTAAGGAGCCAGTGCGGGAGGCCACGTTGATCAGGATGGAAGACTGCATCTTGGGGACATGTAATTTCCACAGCCTGCATTTCTGTATGAACCGCCCAGGACTGCAGGGGAACCCTGCTCCAGGATCGGAGAAGGCAAGTCATTGACAGCAGTTTACATAGACAAGCTGCTTTCCTCAGCCAGATTCATCTGAAGACATTCAGGAGGCAGATAGAGAGGTGGAGTGTTCATCGAGAGGGAGCCGTCTCTCTCTCTCTCTCTCTCTCTCTCTCTCTCTCTCAGGGGGAGGGGGTGTTCTCTGGTTACCACTGTCTAAGGTTAAGCAGAAGCATGGGGCAAGTAAACCTCCTACATTAGGAAGAGGCTGCCAACCAGACCTACGGATTTACCTTGCTAAGGACCTGCAGACGTTTCTTCTCCTTGTCGTTGGTGGCCAGTAAGGCAAACTGCTGCAGCAGCAGCGGGGTGGGAGGCGTGGTGATGTCCAGGTAGCACTTAAACGCCTGGAAGATGGTGCAGGGTGGGATGCGGTTCTCATCTGTCCAGTTACTGATGACACCTGACAAGAGAGAATCCAGTACAATGCTGTGATCAGCTGAGCCTGCCAGCCCACCCTGGGCAAGCCAATGAAGGCTTTGACTCCAGTGGGAGACAATGAATGAGGAAGGGCTAGAAAGATGAGTCTGGCATGATCTCTTGGGGCTCGCTATGACCTCACCTTGTACAATTGGCCACACTAATGATACAGCGTCTGGTTCTCCCAGTCTTGTATCGCTTTGGGAAGAGAGCATTTGCCACCCGCTTAGCGCAGGGCAATGGAGCATCAGGCCCATAGAATGTCCAGTATGGAAGAGCTCAGTGCGTCCGGCCAATCAACACCCTTTAACTCTACTTTCCATGGACCAGTTGTTCAGGTCTTGCATTCTAGGTACCTGAAGAGGTTTCCGCTGGCGAGAGGGAACAGAAAACCCTCCCCTACGGCCCTGCTCTTCCATGACACGGCTGCTCTGAGCACCCCACAGCCCCAGAGTGCAGCTCAGCTGTGGATCTGGGCCCCCTCTCTCATGACGAAGAAGCTAAAACCAGCGCTACAAACCCTACAGTCCTTATGGGAATGCACCAGGGAATGTGGTCCAAACCCCCCCAGCTAGGATCCACATGGCACCCAGAGACTCTGCAAGGGGGGCGGGGAATGGGATCCAGCTGGCCCTGGTTACCTAAAGCTGTGCTCCTCTCCTCCAAGAGCTCCACCTTCACCAGCTGGTTGGCTGGGGGTGCGTCCTCGAGTCTCTCCATCAGGGCGCTGACCAAGTCCTCGTGGTTGCCTGGAAACACTCCCAGGTGGTCTCCAGGCTGGTAGCGCAGCTCCTGCTGCCCGTTGGTGTGAAGTCGTAGGAAAATCGTTGACCGACTGCGGGGGGGGGGGGGGGGGTGAAAAACAAAACAAACCCAGCACTGTGACGAGCCCTCTGGACAGCTGTAAGCCCTCAGCTAACGGGGCCCAGCTCTGAGAGCTGTTTCTTTAGGTGTGATTTTCTAAGGAGCAGGAAGGAGGGCACAGGAGCAGCCCAGAGTCTGCCCAGATGATCGTATGTTTGAACTAAGGAAAAGGAAACAAGAATGGGAGCTTAGGAAAGAATCTGCCCTCTGTTCAGACCTGGCCTCCCGCCCCACTCTCCTGTGGTGGTGTTCTCCACTGCTAGCCATTCCTCTGCACACCGCTTGGAAAGCTGAGTCCGCTGGCCCAATGCTGTCCTTTGTGGAACTTCCGCATCGCCTGTCATGCCATGAATGCAGCACCCTGCCCCTTTCTCGGCATAACACGGTTGGTGTCGGCAGGAACGTCTCAAGGAAACCAGCTGGTCCCTGACCGGCTGCAGCGCTAGCAGCAGAAGCCCATGTACTATTCTGGTGTGTCACATCAAAGGAGTGGGCCACAGGTGTCCACGAGGAGAAACGCCACTGAAGTGCCTGTGGCCCTACTGCTGTAAAGCACGTGGAAGTGAGGCCAGGTCTCCACTACACACTTACTTCGGTATAACTATGTCACTCGGGGGTGTGCTGCACATGCAGTCGTACCGAACTAACCGCCGGTGTGGACAGCACTAAGTCGACAGCTTCTCCCACCAATATAGCAAAGGTGAAGCATATTCAGACGCATTACGGCTGGGGATACGGTGGGGTGGTCTGCACGGACAGGAGCATGCCTGAGATACCCGTAGAGGATTCACTACATTGGATGCTAGGGAACATTCACCACCAAGTTAGAAGTAAAGTCTGTAGATTAAAGATTAAAGAGGCTAGGACTTTTCAGATTGGAAAAGAGGAGACTAAGGGGGGATATGATAGAGGTCTATAAAATCATGAGTGGTGTGGAGAAAGTGAATAAGGAAAAGTTATTTACTTGTTCCCATAATATGAGAACTTGGGGCCACCAAATTAAATTAATGGGCAGCAGGTTTAAAACAAATAAAAGGAAGTTCTTCTTCACACAGCGCACAGTCAACCTGTGGAACTCCTTGCCTGAGGAGGTTGTGAAGGCTAGGACTATAACAGGGTTTAAAATAGAACTAGATAAATTCATGGAGGTTAAGTCCATTAATGGCTGTTAGCCAGGATGGGTAAGGAATGGTGTCCCTAGTCTTTGTTTGTCAGAGGGTGGAGATGGATGGCAGGAGAGAGATCACTTGATCATTACCTGTTAGGTTCACTCCCTCTGGGGCACCTGGCATTGGTCACTGTCGGTAGACAGGACATTGGGCTGGATGGACCTTTTGTCTGACCCAGTCTGGCCGTTCTTATGTTGTAACGCAGGGCACACTTTAGGCCTGGCCTGGTTGATTGATTCATAGATTCATAGATTCTAGGACTGGAAGGGACCTCGAGAGGTCATTGAGTCCAGGCTCCTGCACTCATGGCAGGACTAAGTATTATCTAGACCATCCCTGACAGATGTTTGTCTAACCTGCTCTTAAAAAATCTCCAATGATGGAGATTCCACAACCTCCCTAGGCAATTTATTCCAGTGTTTAACCACCCTGACAGTTAGGAACTTTTTCCTAATGTCCAACCTAAACCTCCCTTGCTGCAGTTGAAGCCCATTGCTTCTTGTTCTATCCTTAGAGGCTAAGGTGAACAAGTTTTCTCCCTCCTCCTTATGACACCCTTTTAGATACCTGAAAACTGCTATCATGTCCCCTCTCAGTCTTCTCTTTTCCAAACTAAACAAATAGTCAGCGTTGAGTTCCATTTACTGGCCTTCTGGTTCTTGAGCCATTAGTGGTCCTGGCTTTAAGCTTTCTTCCACACCACGAGGACTAGAAATTTACTCCTTTTATTTTTAAGGAAAGTTGATAGTCTCTTGTAATAACCTGACTCCAGGAGCTGGGGCATTAAAGAGAAACCTCAGATACCATGTGAATCGTGGTCCAATCACGAGAGCTGGCGAAAGAACCTGGGTGTGGAATCTGGACACCTTCAAACTCTGGAGGTGGTGGGAACCAAGGCTACGCTCTGGCCTATTATAAAAAGAAGGGGCCATTTCAGATTCCAAACACCCCAAACTCTGGGGCGATCAGAACTGGGCTTCTGGTTTAAGCCCATGTGCAACTGAGGAGGGCGAGTTCTAGGGAATATCCCGTGTTTGTGCATCAGGGGAGAGGGAGTGACGCTGACACTAACAGGAGATGTGCCCATGCACCACTGGCAGAACATCCCCCTGAGATGGACCGGGGGAAGCTCGCATAGCCTCCAGGCATGGTGCTACACCCTAGCCAGCGCCGTCCCGCCCTCCTTCCCTTCGGTAATCATTTGGGTGGGAGTGGTGTTGGCTGAGAGCAGGCGGTGGCACCTCCTAGGAGCCAGGCTGGGCTGAAGGCCTGGCTGAGCTGGGGGGTCCCCTGACAGCCTGGTGTGTGCTGCAGGCAGCGTGTGATGTGTTCTGTGTGGGAGACGATGTGAACATTGAGAAGGCCAACAACTCCCTCATCAGCAACGACCGGAGCTGGAAGAGGAGCAAGTTCCGCCTGACCTACGTGGCTGAGGCCCCCGAGCTCACGCAAGGTATGGCCGCTTGGTCACCAGGGGGCTTTGAGCATGGGGCAGACCCTGGGGCAGATTACAATCCTTGGGGCCAGTGGTGGGCTTACCTGGGGGAAGGGTGCAGGGCACCCTGGACAGAGCTCTGCTGAGACCCTCTCTCTGGGTATCCGACTCTCTCTTGTCCATATCTCACCCTCCCTCAGATATGCCCTGTCCCTGCTCCCTCCATTCTCTCCCTCCTGCCCTCTCACCTCCCTCCCTCTGGTTCCTTTCTCCTGCTCTCTTTTCTTCCCATATCCTTCACCCGATGTCCAACCCTATCGCTGGATAGAAAACTCCCCCTTGTCCCTGCCCCTCCGGCCCCCATTCAACTTCAAGCCCCTCCCCTCCCCCCGAATGGCGCATTGTGGCCTGGGAGGAGAATTCCACTGAAGTTCTGTCTGGTTTTGCCTCTTCACCACCCGCTCCAGCCGCAGTCAGGGTGGGAAGCCCACGCTCGGCTGGAGGAAGGGGCTGGAGACAGGCAGCTGCCGGCCCGGCCTCTCAAGCTGGCGGAGGGCCTGTGCCAGGGCAGTGGTAGGCTAGGGCAGTGCTGAATCCGGCCTGCCTGCTGCTGCCTCCTCTTGCAGAGCAGACGCACTCATTGCTGAGAGGAAGCGGAAGAAGTGGAAATCCAGGAGTGCTCTATGCCACCTGTTTAAAACTCTCCCTCCCATGGCGTAGCCCAGGGTGGGGCCCACCCACTAAAACACAGCACCATAGAGCGGCTCCTGCAGCTGGTAAACACAGCGCTGCCTCGGCTCCTCCTGAATTCAGATGCCCAGTTGCCAACCAGATGGCATGTGTTGTGTTAGGAATGAAAGGTGTGTGTATGTTCATGCGGCTGGTGGTGGTGGTTGTTCCTCCATCCCCCTGGTTACCTACCTGCTGAGAGCAGGGAGCTGCTGCAATCATTCGCTCCTTTCACATGGCCCCGAAGGCTCCCTGAAGCTTACCAGCAAAGGCCCTGTGGGTCTCCCGTGGGGTGGAGCAGCAGGCCCCAAGCCAGGGCAGCCCTGGAATCACTCGGCTGCTGCATCCCAGACCAGGTTCTGAAATGCTGAACGTGGTGGTGCCCAGACAGACCCTGGGAGCAGCCAGCCTGCCCTCGTCAGTCTCCGCCGCTTTCATCTGATTGGATCTTCTCATCCGCAGGTCTGTACAGTATTCACAAAAAGCGAGTCTATGCCGCCCGGCTTCTCACGCGCCAGAATCTGCAGAGCCCAAAATCCAGGTAGGATTGACAGCCACACATCTCACCCATATACCCATGAGGCACACACACAGTCTGCCCTGGTACATACACGTGACACACACACAGCTCTCTCCAACTTCTTAATTCCAAGCATCTTCCGCTCTACTCTGCACTGGTTAGGCCTCAGCTGGAGTATTGTGTCCAGTTCTGGGCACCGCATTTCAAGAAAGATGTGGAGAAATTGGAGAGGGTCCAGAGAAGAGCAACAAGAAGGATTAAAGGTCTCGAGAACATGACCTATGAAGGAAGGCTGAAAGAATTGGGTTTGTTTAGTTTGGAAAAGAGAAGACTGAGAGGGGACATGATAGCAGTTTTCAGTTATCTAAAAGGGTGTCATAAGGAGGAGGGAGAAAACTTGTTCACCTTAGCCTCTAAGGATAGAACAAGAAGCAATGGGCTTCAACTGCAGCAAGGGAGGTTTAGGTTGGACATTAGGAAAAAGTTCCTAACTGTCAGGGTGGTTAAACACTGGAATAAATTGCCTAGGGAGGTTGTGGAATCTCCATCTCTGGAGATATTTAAGAGTAGGTTAGATAAATGTCTATCAGGGATGGTCTAGACAGTATTTGGTCCTGCCATGCGGGCAGGGGACTGGACTCGATGACCTCTCAAGGTCCCTTCCAGTCCTAGAATCTATGAATCTATTGTTAACTTGGTCTCCAATTTGTTTTTGCCTGACGTGATTTTTGAACACGCGGGGCTGGCAATACTGGATTCACACCCCAATTTGGCCAAGGGCTCCTCTCCTTATACATTGGCTGAACCAAAACCCGGGGTCCAAACACCCGGATACTGGGCGGCTCACGATCCAGACCCAAAGCTAGAGCCCACCTCCCAGAATGCACTTAGATACCTCCTCCAAACCCTCAAAGACACCCCAGCCCGGTGAGAAGGCGCCGCATTACCCTGAGCTCTGCTCTAGGTCTCTAGCGGGGCTCCTAACTGCCCCCTGTGCCACCCGAACCAGCTTGGTCCCCACGCGCCGTCTAGGCCCCCGGGGGCTGCGGTGCACAGGCAGGAGGCCTGAGGAGCCAGGTCTCTGATTCTTTGCTTTGCTGCAGGACCCTCACAAAGAGCAGGGACGGCTAAAGCTGTGAACCCCAAAGGACTTGCAATGTGCCAGGGTGCTGGGGACCCAGGGGGCGAGCTCAGGCCCGACTTTAACTGAAAGCAGCTTTGCCCAATGGCAGCTTCCCAGGCTCTTTCCCCCCGCCCCCTTCTGAATCTCCCCGCCCCCCTTCCCAAAGACGAAGGAAGCAGACTACCTTGAAAACCTTTTTGGCCCACGTCCTGAAAGACTCTTCCTGGCCACAGAGCTCATCCCCCTCCCCCATGCGGAGGATGCGCTCCCCTCCCAGCTCCTCCAGCAGGGTGTCGACGGCGCGGGCAAAGGCGCAGAAGTGGGGGTAGGCACGCGATCCTAGGCCGAACACCGAGAACCTGCAAGCAGACCGGAAAGCTGCAGCTACCCGAGGACGACAGCAGAGACAGGAGGCAGAGCGGGCAGCGTCTCCCGGCTCACACCCACATGCCATTGCCCGGCCTGCGGGCCCTGCAGCACTAGCAAAAAAGAGAGGCACTGAAACCCCTCTGCAGCCCTCGGGGCCCCCCAAACCAGGGCATCGGGGCTCAGCCTTCCCCTGTCTGAAACCAAGGGAGGAAGCCCTACAGAGGCAACTTTGCCTCACCAGTTCTGGGAGGAAACAGCCACGGGTGCATCAACCACCACAGGCATTGCCAGGCCATGCCAGGGCAGCAGGGGCACGGCTGGCTTTGCCTGGCAGGGACTGGTGGGATCTGGCTAGCAAGGTGCCAGGCGGGAGCGGCTGGAGATCACTGAGCCGGGGCTGACACGGCTATGGGACGGAGATGAGCCAAGCACAGAGAGTCACAGCTTGTTAGTCTTAGCGGGTCTGGGGTGATGCCTTGTGACTGGTCTCCCAGGGACCCCAGAGGTCAGGGCGCACTGACCAAGTCAGTCAGGAGAAGGGGGTGAATATAACAGAGACATGGAGTCAGGCTAGCTCAGGGAGCTGGTGGTTATTTACCCGTTGCACAGCTGCTTAGAGGAGATCTTTGCTACGGGGGGTTGTGGCGCTGGCAGACCAGGTGCCAGCTCATGCCCAGGTCCCCATGCCTCCACTGAACACTGACAAATACAGCTCTGGAGCCAGTCTGGCTCCCCTGGGCGGTAGTATTGCTAAAGCAGGCGTCAGAACTAGAAGAATGTGTTTAGACGTTATGGAATGCTTGGGAGTTGCTGCCGGCATTAATCTCACTTGTAACAGCTGTAGCCCATGTTCTAAGGTAATAGTTGAGCGTTCTGCATTGTGTGCCTCTGTAACTGCAAATCCCCAGACAGGAGAGAGACAGGAACTAGTGTGAAGTGCTGATCTCCAACAGAAGCTGTTCCGTCCTGGCCAACAAGCCAGGCCCATCAACACCAGACTACTGTGGAACACTGATCGTTCTCCTCCCCCCTTTAGGACAGTGAATTCCTCCCATCCGTTGGGTCTGCAGCTCAAAGCGCAAGAGGGAAAGGGAATAAAAAGCCCCAACAAGGAGGACCTCTCTCTTTATGCTGCTTGGGCTCTGGGGGGCAAGGATTACTAGGCATAATTAAAAGATCCCCAGTGCTTAGCCTGGGTTAGCCCTAGAAGACCCATAGAGCTTGCTTCTTATAGAAATTTCGGTTACTTTTTGAAAGTTAAGCTTGAACTCATTTGGGTGTGTGTTTACCTGCTTTAACCTTGTACATAACTCTCTTGTTTCCTATCTAATAAATCTGTAGATCGTTTATGATAGGGTTGGCCTCATGTGTTGTCTTTGGTGTGAGATCTAAGGTGCAATTGACCTGGGGTAAGTGACTGGTCCTTTGAGACTGGGCACAACCTGACTAGCGCTGTGCTGGTTGGTGTGAGACAATCACAGAGGCAGGCTTAGCTGGGTGGTAAGACAGAGGATTCGAAGTACCCAAGGGGACAGACTGGGATTGCATGGCGAGGCTGTTACGGTGCTTGAGGAGTTCACACTTGGTGGTTGGTTGGTGAAATCAAAGTACAGAACTCACAACCAATTTGGGGCTTGGGCCCTGGTTCTCAACAGACTGCCCGGAGGTTTGTGCTCACCACTTTTGAGGCACTGCAGGACCGCTTGGCAGGTGTCATGGGGTTGCCGGTCCCCGTAATGGGACCCCGGTCCAAGCTACCCCAGCCAGCTAAGTTAAGGGGAAGGAACCCATCTAGGTAGTTAACTGAACAACGAGCACCTGAGCCAGATAAAAGCCATCAGGGCTCAGTTCCAGGGAGGGGCTCCCTGAGTGAGGAGCTCCCAGAGCCCACAGCTCGGAAGAGGAGGGCAGCATCAGTGGCTCTGCGACCCCGGAGCCCAAGGGAGAGACTTTATTTCAAGTTTATTTGGGGATTTAATAAAGCAGAACCCAGCAGGGGGACTGCGTCTTACACCCTTTCGGACTCTGTGGAATTCTTAAGGGGCCCGGAGAGAAGGGAAACTGAGGCAGGGAGTGCCTCCAGTGCCACACTAGGCCAGCTGAGAGCCCTACAGGGCAGGCAGGCCCCACAACATGGGGTACTGGGCCCTTTGCAGCAGCTGCAGTGTCCTCTCTCCTTGCCTGCTGGAGACAGGCTGAGCCCTCAGGAAGCTAGCAGCAACCTCCCTCTCCATCCTGCTCACCTGACATTAGCCAGAGGCCCTGTGCTCTCAAAGTTGTCCCTGGCTTCAGGCCCGTCGCTCGAAGACTTCCGTGCGTCCGAGTAAGAGGAGACGCTGTTAAAACGGACCTTGTAGCTCCTGCAAGCAGCAACGACAGCAAGCGTTACGGCAGCCGCGGCACCTCTACACCTGCTACCGGGCCAGCGGTAGGATGGGCAGGCGAGTGCTGGGAACTGGGGCGCAGCTTGGGCAGCTCTCACCAGCCAGGGCCTGAGTTCAGGGCTCTGCTGTTGCCTGCCCCCGGGGAGGCTGTTAGTGATGCCGACAGCAGAGCAGGGAGCTCAGTGTATGTTACGTGCCTCCCGATGCACAGAGGAAGCGAGTCTGTTACAAGCCCTGACTAGCCAGCCTGTCTCAAGCTGCAGAGACTCACACATTCCGGAGGTCCCCAGTTCATGGCATCAGCTGTGGTGGGGGAAGCAGAGCCCTGCACCCAAGCCTTACTCAGCTGTGTAGCCGGCAAGGGTTTTACATGACCTGGCTTCCAGCGGCAGGTCCATGACTTGCTGGAAGGTTGGGTTGGGGGTTTTATAGGTATTTCCATTCCCCTCCAGCAAGCACAGATCCTTATGAAGTGTAGGCCCCTAAATATGGCTTTCGGGGTTGGATTTCCAACGGCGCCTCAGGGATTTAGGCCCCATTGAGAATCCAGAGCCATTAGACGCTCAGGTTCAGAAACGGTGACCTTAGCACATAAACAAGTGCTCTTTACCTCCTGATCGGAAGGTCACTGTCCCTGGGTTCTGGTGGCTTCCCCCAGAGAGAGAGCGGTCAAGTGGGGAGTGTCCTGTACTGAGAAACTCCAGCCACGGGTACTGGAGAGGTCCATGCGAACAGCAAGACCGTCCCCAGAGCTCTTTGTGGGACATGAAGGACTGAGACTGTCTGTCACATAGTCAGACTACAGGCTGTGCAGGCCCTTAAAGACAGTGGACAACAGCTCAGATTGTTCTTGGAAGTGACTGCAGCAGCCAGTGCCGAGCTCAGACACGTCAGTTCTATATTGTTGTCCACCTCACAGCTCAACTACAATCTCCTTCCAGGATACTCCGTAACACGGTGTATTGCAAGTGTCCAGCGTGGAGGCGACACACATGAACACCACAGCGGAATCCTTTTCCCGGAGGCACCTCTGGGGGTGGCCTATTGTCCTGTTCCATCAGCTGTCCCCATTGGGGAAGAGGCCATTAAAACCGTAATGGGTTTTCAGATTACGAGCCCTGTAGGGATCGGTCACATCACATGTCCGCATAGCAGGTAGGCCACTTCGGGGCTGCAACACCACCACAATCAGTGTGCAAATAACTAACATTACTGCTCTGCACAAGCGTGTTATCTGCTGCATTTCTGAAGGAAAAGACTAGAGCCAAGACTCTCCGACCTCTTTAACATCTGATTAAAACCCACTTATCACCGGCCGGATGCTAATTCTGTCCTGACTAAGCGGCAGACATTACCATTCACTATCCTCATTATGTTAATTCAAGAGACTTCACAGGGAGCAGATGTCTCAATTAAGTGGAATATGCTGTACTTCACCCCTAAAATAATAATAATAGCCAATAAATGTTTAACACTTTGCCATTCTGCAGCAGCCTGGATCTCAAAGCTTTTTACAAATGTTTAACTAACTCTGGCAGATGTTAAGTGACTTGCCCAAGTCTCATCTTGCTTCAGTAGCAGAGCCAGTAACAGATGCCAGAAAACTGACTCCCAAGTCCTCTGCTCTAACCCCAAGCTAGACTTCCTTAAAGGAAGGACACAACCTTAGCTTGACCACAGCACTCGTGCGCCTTAGGGGTGTTTTTGCACAACACGGCAATAAACTGCGGCCAACCCCTCTAACATCCCCAGGCCTTTCAGCCCACCTAAAGCAATTTTATGGTGAGTTTCACTATATTCGGGGTCTTCCTTGAAGCCCCAGCATCTGAAGTCACGTGAGAATCTCAGCATTTTAAAGAAAGTTACTAGCCCTTCTGGTTCCAGAGAAGAGCTAAAAAATGTGATCCTTCAAGGCTTAAAGGCAAATAAAAAGAACGAGACATTTACTATTTTTAAATAATCTCAATGTTAAGGGTTGGCAATGCAGACATAGATCTGCCTGGAAGAAGAGAAATCTGTGAAACATTGCCACCTAGTGGTAATTTGATTTAACTACTACTGTATGTTCAAAGCATAGCTACAGGTTTGTGGTTCGTGGATGACCAGTAGTTCATGGGGCACTTGCTGTTGGTCCACAGACACGTGGCTGGTTGCAGAGTGCTGGCTCCTCTTCGTTTGCAGGAGCTAATTTGCATCAAAAGAAGCTAAAATACACGCCATAGTTTCTTGTCCTTTTCCATGTAAGCGATTGCTGGGGTTGCCTCAGGGATGATATCCCGTTATCGCTAGCAGGGGAGAGGGCCATGAGACGAATGGGCGAATGGGAGGGGAGAGGGCCATGAGACTCTGTGAAGATGTGGTCCATGCTACGAAAAGCGGTCCGTGCAAAGGCCAGCTGTGAGCCCAGTTTTGGCTCCATTTCGGCGTTAGTGGTGTTTATCTGTATGGTATGGTCACAGGGTGACCTGGCCCTTTAAAAGGTTAGCCCACCTTCCCTGGCAAAAGGAATGAGAGTGCAGGGGTCACGTGTGACTAAGACCCAGGCCTGCCGTGAGATATAAGGGCGGCCGGTGACTAGTCAGGAGAAAGACTCCAAGGACAGCAGACCTGGGAGATCAAGCAGGAAGAGGCCCTGTGCAGGGAAGACAGGGCAGTTTGGGTTATGGCATGGACCTGTAATAGAGGGTGGGCATAGGTGCCCCCAAGCTGCCAGCCCATGCGTGGCTGCAGCCATTGGCGGTTAACAAGGGGAAGAAGGGACGGACTGGTAGGAGCCCAAGAGGGCTGGAGCCGAGCCCAGTAAAGGGCTAAAGACACTTGAAAAGGACAGAGGGGCCCTTAGAGGTCCGGCTTTGCCCCAGCAAGAGAGAACTCTGGCTAAGCCCGAGGACTGCGTGACCTCAGGGCTCCAATGCATTGAAGGGTCCTGCATAAGAGCACTGCAGCAGCCTCTGAGGCTGAGGTTAAATGCTCCAAGGGAGGAAACTGAGGCAGCAGACAGGCCTGATGCCAGACCAGGTAACTCCCTGCTACAGATGCTATTAGAGAAAGGCACAACTACCAAGTCTGGATCCAGATTCAGAACCCCCGGAGCAGCTGGATCCTGGGTTTGGGGCGGGCCCATCTTTAGTTGACAGTCTCTGGGCTCTGCGTTCAGTCTTGCGGCAACAGGTGTCTGCCTTGAGTCCTCACTGCCAAAGGATCTGAGCACCTCACGGTTCTCTCTCCTCCTCACCCAGGCAGACAGCGGGTACGGCTAAACACCAGAAAAACCTCGCGGCAGTTTTTCGGCTCAAGCCACTTGGGTTATGGGGCTCAAACTAGCAGTGCAGACATTTGGCTCTGCATGGAGCCTGGCTCTGGGACCCTTCCCCCTCCCCGGGTTTCAGAGCCCAGGCTCCATGCAGAGCCAAACATCTACACTGCTATTTTGAGCCTCACTGCGCGAGCCTGACTCAGCTGACAGAGGCTCTGAGACTTGCTGCCAGGTCCTGTTTTGTTTGCCGTGGAGACGTACAGTAAGTGACTTGCTCAAGGCCACACGGGATGTCTGTGGCAGAGCAATGAATTGAATATGCATCTTTTGAGCCCCAGGCCAGCACCTTCTCCAATGGACCATCCTTGCTCTTGCTCCAGCGTGCTTGGTTCTCCCTACAAGTGCTCTCCTGCCCAGGCCAGAGGCATGCGTTTCTGCCGGGGTGACCGACTTCGCTCCCGTGGCAAACAAACCAAAAGGAATGGTATTCGTAAAGGAAAGTGTAACAGCCCTCTCCCGGCCCCATCTCTTACCAGGCCAGGACCATCTGCTGGGCTGGACCCAGTGTCTTGCCGGAGGGGGGAAAGGGGATGACATGCAAGGGGATTTAATGCCAGGGAAGGTATATAGACTCGTTCCCCTAGAGCCAGGCCTGCACTGCAACCCTCCAAACACTGGAATTCCGGATCAGCTTTACGTACAAGCAACTGCCCAGGGTCCTGTTCTTCTGGGAGGGCCACAGGGCAGCTCCTGACCTGGTTCTCCCCCTCATCTAGCAAAGCACAGGACATGCCAGGCCCAATTCCACCCCCATTCCCCTCCCTCAGCAGAGCCCACCTGACCTGATCTCTTACTTGAGTCCCTACAGACCCAGAGGCCAGTTTTGGATGGACAAACACTCACCAGGCAGTGGAGTGGAGTGAAATTGCCAAGGTTTGTTTCACCTGTGACCTCAGCCTGGTCCAGAGGGGAAAGGCCAGTGCTACCTAGAGCATTGGACCGGCTGCCTGAGTACCTGCGAGTCTCTCCCCAGGCCATAAACTTGCAGCCTCAGTTGGGACAGAGGCCAGCTAACCCAAGGGAGGGAGGTGGTGCCTGGTTCCCCAGGGATGGGCCAGCTCTGCTGGGGTGGGAGTGATGCAGGGCTCTTGTCTGAGTCTCTTACTTCCTCTCTTCCAGGTGAGAGTTGGGATTCCTCATTTCCATCATCGCACAGCCAAATTTCTAGAGAGAGAAACAGCAGGGTCGTCACTTCCGCCGGCCGTCGTACAGGACCCCGAAGGTAAGCGGCTGCTCTGTCCCGCTCCAGAGGCCCCCACCTGCTTTCACCAGTGGGACCCAACCGTGGGTCATCTGCACCGTGCGCTGGGACTGAACTCAGCTATTGCTCTGTAAGCCCGCCGGGGCCAGGACCGGGGCCTTGAGGGCTCATACAGCACCAAGCACATCGGCAGGTTAATCATCATTTTCCCTTGCGTGGTGCCGTACATCAGAGGGTCTCTAAGCATTGGGGGCCTGGTCCAATCCCCTGAAATCTATGGGAGTCCTTCCACTGACTTTGATGGGATCTAGAGCAGGCTTTTAATTAATTAAACCTCACAGCCTCCCTGGGGGCGAGGCAGATGTTCTCCCATTCTACAGATGGGGAAACTAAGGCAAACTTAAGGTCTCGCAGCAAGTGGGGGGCAGGTTTGGGAAAGAACCCAGGTCTCGTGATGCCCAGCCATGTGCTTTGACCAGTGCCCCATGCTCCCCCCTCTCCGTAATGAATGGGCCTAGAAGTGGGTGCCGCTCCTCCTCCCCCACCATTACTGCCACGTGCGGTACTGGGACAGTTCTTAACCCTTTCCTACCTCCCCATTCTCCGGTGGGTCTCCGTTGCCGAAGGTGCTCGTGACCACCAGGACAAGGGTTTCATGTTCCAGGTGGACTATGTCGTACTCATCCATGGACATCACCTGAGACAGACAGAGATGCTGGTGATGGCCCCTCGCACAGGGAGACTTGCTGCCGTTCAGTTGGCTGGGTTTAGAGCTAGGGGCCAGTCTCTCCGCTGACTTCAGTGCGGTTCTACTGGTGGAGAGCTTGGCCTGAGGCTCTGGCAGAGAACTTGACGCTGAGATCCAATCTATTATGCTAAGGGAGGAGGCCCAGAGACTTAAAGGAGAGACAAATTCTGCTCCTCTTGGGGACTTCCATGGGGCTAAATGGGTAACAGAGGGCAAAACTGGGCCACAAGGCCTCTCCAAATGTGTTCAAATTGAAGGCAGCTTCGTTTGCCTCCGGGCCTCTGTCTCTTAACCGGTCCCAGGGCCCAATCCTGCAAGGTGCTGAGGGCCTGCAATTCCTAGGAAAGTCCCCGGGAGTTGAGGGTGCCCAGCAGCTTGTTGCATTGGGCCCGGTGTACGTAAGCCATACAGCCCCATGCACTCTTCTCCATGGGCAGAGAGCTGGTACGCTACCTTGGCATCGAAAGCGTGCTTGAAGATTTCACATAAGGTTTTTGCATAGACCTGGGACTTCCCCGTTTCCGTGGCATAGAGGATGGTCGCTTTGACCCTCTTGGCCATTGCCTGCCCCATCAGCTTGGCAGAGAACTTCACGGCTCTGGAAAGCAAGTAGAAGCCTCGATAAGATCCTCGGACATGAGAAGCCCAGTCTGCAATTCCCCCCATCTCTCTCTCTCTCGCCTGGATTTCAAGCACGGCTGTGTGATCACAGGGGGGTTATTAGTTCACAACCGTGGGTTGAGAGTTCTAGAGTCTGGGGAAAAGTAAGAGGAATTGTTTTAAACAGCCACTGCCCCCACTCAGCCATGATTTACAGCCAACTGTGGCGGCTGGAGGCCCCTCCCTGGTTGGAGAGGCAGCCTTCAACGCTCTGCACAGCTGTAAGTAACTGCCCAGGGCTCAAGGCAGTGGGAACCAGTCCCCCACTGCCTATGGAAACACACCCGCATACTGCTGGCTTTAAGGGAAGCCTGCCAGCTTGCGGTCTCATGTTCTCGGGTCTCAGACCTCCAGAGAATGTTTTATCTCTTGCACGCATGCATGCCGAGACAGTATCTGGGAAAGGGCTGTTTTCTTTGTTTTCAATAACAGGGGCGTCAACAAGGCTTTTGAGTTTGTTTGAATAAGAAAAAACACACACTTCCTTCCCTGTCCACAGGGCCCAGGACTTACCCCTGGCCCCCGCTGCTCTGGGAAGAGTGTTGATTATTAACTAAACTGAACCTGACCTCTCCCCAATCAGCCAGGGCGTTTGTTCACTTAAAACCCTGCATTTTTCTCACCGTCATGTCCCAGTGCGGACAGCACCTATGGGCATAACTTGACTTGTAGGAACAGTCCCATGGGGATCACCCCCAGGAGCCAACTTACTCCCCTTTAAATGGCTGCAGGACAGGGGCTCTAACCACCTGCCTTTCGTCTCCTGCAGCTGGAATCGATTTCCTTGAGCAGATGCACCCATTAGCCTTGTCTACATAAAAACCCCTTTTGCCCCAGAATTTTCCACCATTATTACTATTGGTTCATCTCCACCAGCTCTAGCGCTAGTGTAGACGGGGCCCACTAGTGTGTCAAGCCCTGTGTCCTCTAACCCAGCTCAGAGCAGCTCCATGGGTACGTCTACACCGGAGCTGGAGGTGCCATTTCCAGCGGGAGTAGACAGACTTCACTAGCTGTGATTGAGCTAGCGTGCTAAACATAGCAGTATAGTTGCAGCGGTGCATCTAGCGGGAGGGGCCGGGCATCTGGAGTACAATCCCGTCCGAGACAGCACGCACGTATTTGGGTGACTAGTCCCGCCTGCCGCTTGCACTGCCGTGACTACTCTCCGGTTTTAGCATGTTAGCTTGATCAACGCTAGCACGTGAGAGAAATGAAACGACACCTTCCAGCTCCCATGTAGACACACCCAACATGACACGGCACCTTCGCATCAGTGGCCATCAGCACTCTGTCTACACGAGTGCTTCTGCCTCTCCCAGTGCTGGTTCAGCACCACTGGTGGTAGCAACCGTGGAAAATTGGGGGCGAAAAAAGTCTAGCAGAGACAGATTTCTTATTGTACTGTAAGGCCACGAATACAACGCTGTACACGCTCGTTTCTTATTGTAGAGTCACTCGTAAGAGCTGGGTTGCAGGGACTGGAGTCCTGCTTTCAAAAATATTCAACATTTTCTCTTTTTTCTAAAGTCACGCCAAGTTTGGAAACGGAGCCATCAAAATGGCAGGCTAGAGCGTGGGCCCCGATCCAGCCAGTGTCTCTTGCAGCACACCAGGCAGAATCAGCCACGGCATCCCGTTACGGAGACGCCACGGAAATCGTGGCAGCTTGATTTAGTTGGTTGACAGTTGAGAGGTGGCTTGAACAAGTCACGTTTGCCCCAGTCGGAACACAACGTGAAGTCTGATAAGCGTCAGCCCTGTTCCAGCAGCCCGGTGAGATTCTAGTGCCCTCATCAGAACAGACGTATAGTACATTGATGGGGATGCCAGTTGCAGCTGCGTTGGAAGCACCAGGCAGAGGCTCGTCAATGAGAATCCCTTAGGGAAGCCCAGCCCCCTCCCCACCCCGCCCATGTGGTTACAGGTGAAAGGTGTCCGCTAGCAAAATCTGCCCAGTTTCACACAGAGAGGAGATTTTTTGGAACGTGGGGGGTGGGGGAAAGGAAAAGCCTGAACTGGATTTCTTTGCCCCCCCGCAACATGGTCTCAAGGTACTTGCCTCTGGGCAGTTCCTATCCTGCTTTCAGTCTGATTCATTATGGTTGTTACCTGCTGCTATAACGCGGCTCCTGAATTCACCCTTCCATGTCAATTTCACCCACTCATTTCAGATGCCACTGGCCTCCCCCGGCCCTGGCACTGATCAGATCTTAGCAAAAGTACAGCTGGGTCCAGGAGGAAGCTGAGAGAGGAACTGTCTGGCTCCTTTGCAACCAGTTCTGGACAGCGTCTAAATCCTCTTGTAACGAAACCCCACCTGGTCAGGAATGTTTTGCTCGCTCAGCCGTTCCCATCTTGTGCGCGGGAGCAGTCAAAAAGCAGATTAGCTCAGAGCCAGGCAGAATTAATGGTAAATTTACAAAAAAAATTAAAACCACCTACACACCAAGAACAATGGAGGGGACATTATTTAAAAATCCTACCTGCCAAGTTCACATTTTTATAAAGCTGTTTATCAATTACGTACTCACACACAGAGCAGTTATAATTAACAGCCATTGTGTCCTCTTCTAACTCAATAGCTCACTTAATCTTTTCGAATCCTCTACCTCCCCCAGACTCCTGCTGAAACCCGTGCACCAGGCACTGGCCCCAAGAACGTATAATTGGTACGGTGGCTTCATGGTGGCACCATGGAAACTAACTTAATGGAAGAGATGGGGGATATCAGATGAGAACAGAGTCACAACAACAGGGACACAGACTTAGCAGTGTCTAGATGATTGTGTAGCACCATTGACCATGGTCAGATCGTCTGTGACATAACATGCATGTTACTGGCTAATAATAATATCACCTAGCTCTTATATAGTGCTTTTTCATCAGTAGATCTCAAAGCACTTCACAAAGGAGGTCAGTATTCTCCTCCCCATTTTATAGATGGGGAAACTGAGGCACAGAGGCATGACGTGGCTTGCCCAAGGTGACCCAGCAGGCCAGGAGTAGATCCAGAAATAGAACACAAGTCTCCCGAGTCCTAGTCCAGTGCTTTCTCCACTAGGGCACTCTGCCTCCTCTATTGGGACACCTCCCCCAGCCCCACCCCCATGGTGGGGAGGCTTCCAGACCAGGAATAAAATATCAAGATTGTCCAAAGTTGCTCAGCTCAATTGGGCAGATCCCTGGTCAGCATTCCGGGGTATCCATCTCTAGGGGGCTTGTTCTGCCCATGGAAGGGATGGGGACTAGCTATGACATATGGACCCAGGTTTTATTCCAAAATGTCCAGGACTGTCCAGATCCAGGATCCTGGTTTGAGCCCGTCTCTTAGGTCCATATGTACAAAGGCTCCCCATGCCATTCTCCTTTCACAGTCACAAAGGGTTTGGTCCCCACGAGCTGCAGGGGAGCGATCGGCGGAAGTATCCCAAATAGCAAAGAAGAGGATTCCGTGGCACGAGTTTCCTCTCACTTATACCAGCGCTAATTGGGAGTAACAGCAATGGAGTTACATCCTTGTCATAGGGGGAGAAGGAAGGAGAATCAGGCCTTCTAACCCCAGAGAGAGGAAGGAAGAGGAGCTGTCTGAAGTCTCTCTCCAAGTGCTGGAACAACCAGAGAGACATTGCTGGAGATTGAACTGATTTGTGGGAAGAGACCCAATGAGGACTTTTAGCTATTTTATACCTTCACCCTCCCATTTACTGCTCCAGTGGCAGGCCCCAAATGCTGCCCACCTCTCCGGGCACCTCTCTCCTGTGCCACACCAGATGACATGGCAAAAGGAGAGGCCTTCAAAAGACACTGGGGGAATCCTGGTGGGCGAGGAGCTGAGCACACGGCAGCCCCACCACACAGAACCTGAACGGTAAACGGTCCGTGTGCTGCATCTCGGTGCTCTGGCTCCTAGTGTGTGGGGGTAGCTACTCCCGGGTACTTACTTGGCCAGCTTTTTAAAACCGATGGCTCTCTTTTTGGTGGGAGTCCCATTGACCCCTTTCCAGATGTACGTGTTCCAAGGGTCAGGCTAGGAGGAAAAAGATGGTCATCAGCTGACGGACAGAGCTTTGTTATTCAACAAGGGCCAGGTCTGTGGGGCCCGGCAATGGAATTGCATTCGCTTGTAAAGACCGCCTGTTTAGATACATTCACAACGCCCGGTTGCTAGGCACCAGCTGGCCTCAGACCCTCGTCATAGGTCTTTATTTGTGGGCCTGGTCTGTAAGCCCATCCTACCCTCCACAACCCAGCTATTTAAGCTTGGAGATGCCCCTCTCTAGAGATGCCCATGTCTTTGAGGGATGACTGGATGCACCAGGGTTTCAACACGCTGTCGCAAGGCAGCGAGGAGGTTGCTGGCTTGTGACAACATGGCTGAGGACCATGCCCTTTGTGCCTCCCGGAAGTGGGCCTGTCCCAGGGACAGGGCCGGCTCCAGGGTTTTCGCTGCCCCAAGCAGCCAAAAAAAAAAAAAAAAAAAAAAAAAA